CAGGTACAAGCTATTAACAAGGTGTATCATAAATGAACAATTATTTAATTATTATTATTATCATCAAATTGAGCATTTGCAAATAGCAATAACTTAATTCATGTGATGTGTGTACTGCTAGGCATCTTTGGTCTCCTCTTTTTGTTAAATTTAGATGGAAAATGTGTGCCTTTTTATTGTTTGAGTCACTTATGAAAAGTTGCTAAAAGTAGCCAAATAAAATGTAAAAATAGCTAAATTTGTTACTAGGTGCTTTTGGAAGAAAAAATCGCTAGGGTAGTCTGAAAAGTTGCTCAATTTAGCAACAAAATTGCTAAGTTGGCAACACTGTAAACAATCAGCAAAACCTCCTGTTTCATCTCCTTCTTGTTCATGGCGAGTTACAGACCATCGTTAAAGGTGCATATACCGCCACCTACTATACCGGAAGGTGTAAAATCATGGCTTCATTCATCTCGGTTGTGTAATGAATGTAAATGTAAATAACAAAACTAAATTGAAATGTTAAAACAAGCCCCAAATCAAATAAATATGTAACAGCTGGTGTGCCCTTGACAGCCACCAGAGGGCAGACTTCTGGATCATTGTTTGTTTTGTTCTGGACTTCAGTTCCCATCACCCCTTGCACTGATTATTTCATTACCTCCAGCTGTTGACCATTTACCCATTAGCTCACTGTGATAAATACCATGCTCACCTAGTCTTTTGTTGCTGCGGTATTGCTTCTGTTTCTTTGTGTTTATGGATTCTGTGTTTGTGATATACCGCTTGCCAGTGTTTTTGCTCTGTTTGTTTATCTTTGTTTTGGGACTAATAAACTGCATTTGGATCTTCTATGCTTTCCCGAGTTTTCCATGACAGACCGTGACAGAAAACTTCTACGAGTGCCTCGGACACTGGTCGGGTTCGGTATTAGTGGCCTCAGGTCTCGGGTAATTTCAAATAAATTAGCTTTTTCCAAATGGACCCAATAAGACCCGAATTCTTTTAAACTGTCCCGGATGTGCACTTGCACATTCATGTTAAGTGAGGAACGTACATAGAAAAGGAGCTTACGTTTGTAACCTCGCAGACAGAAATCATATCATAGAAATTAGATCCATCAGGAAAATCAATTCTCTTCATTATGCTGCGTGCTCATGCAGGGCTTTTCTTTTTTGTGTGCAGAAGCCTTTCGCCAGAGATTAGTTTGCAGACAACACTAGCGAATCCATGAATTATTAGGCTATCGATTTAATTTTTATCAAACTTTCACGTTTACTTTTCAAATCCAGTGGTCACAATTGAAAGCTGAACTCAGAAATAACTTGTATCTATCAGGCAGGTGTAGCCGGTTCAGCCCTTCACGGCTCGACCGTGAGACCGTGAGATTGCTAAATAAAGGTGACTTGACTTGACTTGACTTGACTACCCCTCTGCGTTGTGATGTGGGGTGTGGAATAAACACTGGAGTCAGTCCACTGGTTCAGTTGCCTTTTATGTTAAGTGCTCTGCATCAGTAGAAACCATGCAGTTAATTATTAGTTGTACAATCAAGCCTGCTCGCTCTGCTCAGACCTCCCGCGGACTCAAGCAAGAGTTCACAATACAGAGAATTTCATATTTTACAAGATGAAGAAATAATATAAAGAAAATAGTAGCAACTAATGATCACTTCAAATTCAACATAACAACATATGCAGAAGATGTGTTATATAAAAGACTTCACTTAATGAATTCAACATTTCCAGCATTTTGTATATACATGAAAACCAATTCAAGTTTGAACACACAGAGAAATTATGAAAACACATAAGAAACTGTACCTGCATCAGTAGAAACCATGCAGTTAATTATTCGTTGTACAATCAAGCCTGCTCCTGCTAAACATTCACACAAAAAAAGAGAAATCAGCAGCCACGCTTCATAGGCTAACTTTCACAGGCTAATTTTCACGCTGACAATGTCACACTGCATTCTCTCGGTTAAAACTACACTTTTGCAGGTTAAAACAGCTTTAAACTCAGTTCTAAGAAAAAGGTAACATATTCATGTAACTCATTTGCACATCATAACAAAACACTGATCAAGTAATTGGTGATGATTTCCCTTTGAACACTCTTCTGAACAAGACTGAACAAAATGCATACCTCGCTCTGCTCAGACCTCCCGCGGACTGAAGCAAATGCGCGCAGCGCGCCAGTGACGTCACAACGGCGATGCGCACGGAACTCGTAAAGAACTAAAATAAATCTTTTTCTTTTCTTTTCTCACATATATATATATACATTATTTACCAACAGAAAAACATAAGGATTTTCGCGCAGCGCGCCAGTGACGTCACAACGGCGATGCGCACGGAACTCGTAAAGAACTAAAATAAATCTTTTTCTTTTCTTTTCTCACATATATATATATACATTATTTACCAACAGAAAAACATAAGGATTTTGAGTGAATTTACAATAAACCAATTTATAATCAACACCTGCTACACAGGCACTAAAAAAGTAATAATAAACTGAATAAATGTTAAATAAATCAAAGTAATGGATAAGCGGCCAAATCAGTCTGCAGGACATCGGGATTTTTCCTGACTGACTGCAGGGCTGGAGGCTGTGTACATGTCAATGCCGTTTACGTTCGGGTCCAATCGGGTTAGAAAATAAATGCCGTCGGGTCGGACTTAGGTCTGATTTCATCGGGTCTGTCTCGGGTCGGGTTTAAAAAAGAAAAAAATGTATGCACGTGGGGTTCAGGTAAGAAGTGATTCGGGTCGGGTACATATTTTAGGACCCGAGAAGACCTCTACTGCCGAGTCTCTCTCGAGGACTGCTGCTGGGCGCTGGTGTTGCAATGGAACGTTCTATTGGCTTTCACTTCTTGTCAATATAGACCGTTTCAATCAACGGCAACAACATAAACAAACGTTACTGTGCATGCATGCTTTTGTGGCCCAAACTGAACTTCCGGTAGACTTCCGCAAAAAATCAATAACAACAAAGTCCCTCTAGAGTAGATTATATCTGATAACAAGCAAAATAAATAAGTAAATTACATTAGCTAGCAAGTTAAAACAATAGGTGTGTTCGACTTGAAGCTGCGCTACACAGACCGATCAGTGTGTGACTTCAAAGTACAGTGAGAACTATAGAGCAGATGCTTCTAAATTAACTGTACACATGAGAGGCGGAAAGTTGCCGATAACTATACATTAATTAAGGCTATTTCTATTCGTTATGACTTTGATATATGAACTATTGTAGTCAAGTAAGCTTAATTGATAATGCTTCCTCTGTTGTGAGCCTGTGCGCTCCTCTAAACTGTCCGGGTTCTGCACTGCTCTCGCAGTTGTCTTCTGTACCTTTGTTCCAACAATATCACGTTATTATCAACCCTTTAGAAAACTGAATTCTTTGTGGATCCTCCTGATCTGTTCGTTCATCTTTCTCCATGTTTCTTAAACAAATGGTAGCGTCTCAGTCTCATGCTCACTTATTTACATGTCGCGGTATACACAGAATAAAAAAAAAATCTGTTACAGATGACATTTTATACCGCGGCAACGATATATACCGTCATACCACCCAGTCCTATTTGTGTCTATCATTTTGTTTATGTGAATGTCATCTTACACATTTGTAACTATTAATCTGCAACTTCAAATTCAAAACATGGGTATTTTGATAATTGTCTGTGTGTGCAAATCAAAAGATTCAGCTTTCACATCAGAACTGAGTGTAGATTTCAACTTACAAATGCGAATATTAATATGACAAGTTCTCACATTCAAATCAACAAGCTCTCGAGTTTTGCTACGATTTAACCTTCATAAATAGGACTGTAAATAATGTGTAAAGTCTTACATGTCTCAACCATAACCTTGTACAAATGATTTATTCCGTTTCACTTCTAAATGCTTTAAACTTAATTGATTTTGGAATTTTGTAATATTCTCTGCCTTTAATGTCTGTATCCAAGTCTTTGCCAGTTGTCAATGTTGCTTTTTTAATGAATGATTTACCTTATTTTTTACAAAGGAAAATCTATGGTTTTGTTGTTTTTGCTAATTTGTCAGCTCTTTCATTTCCTTGAACTCCTGTTTTAATGAACAACACGTATATGATTTTTCTACGTTTGAAAAGTGAAGTATACATTTCTATTAAAATTTTTTTTGTTTTATAGTACTAATGCTGTGTAATTTGGTTTGACTTCCTCCACTAATTGTAAACCCAGTGATATTGCAGCTCTTCTGTGATTATGACTACGTAATTAGATATTCCTTTTTTACTTTACATTCTGGTATAAATATGCCCACACCAGCATTTCCTGAGTTTTGTACCAAATAACAGATATTGTTGCAGTAAACACTGCTACACACAGTAACAATTCTGTTGAGAACTGTATGGTCCTGAAGAACAGATAGTTACATTTTAAAGCATCCATGTGAAAACAAACCTGGAAAGAGACATGAAGATTTGGGGAGAAAAAAAAAAGATTTATACATTCCAATGCATTCTTCATGGGATATATCCTAAATTAAATCAGGGGAGCAGAGCACAAATGCACAAACATACTTTGTCTTTTTTCATACTTTTACAGAGGGCTACAAATGAGAAGAAAGAAAAGAAAAGAATCAGGAATGAAATAATGCAGAAGCCATAGATATTGTTCTACTGAGTCATATTGAAATACCAAGCATTACATTATTCTTCTTACATCTGAAAATAGAATACAAAGGAAAATTTACAGTTCATCCAGTCAAACTGACAGATAAGAGTGGTGTGTAGCACAACTTTATGATTTAAAACTATTTGTTTCAGTCTTTTTGAGTCGAACTTGAACCATTTTCCCAAAAGATAATGATACTGCTGACTTAAACTTTGCTAACCTTGCAACTCCCACTCTGACTGCTTTATTTTGCATAACTACATGCTGTATTTCAGAGTACAGGAATATGCAAAATGTTCCAATGAAGAAAACTGTTATAGCAGCAATTAAAAATAAAATAGGATTAGGCATAAAATAATGTTTTCAGAATCATTAATGTGAAAAATGGCTGAAAATGGAACAAATAGTTGTTATCTGGCTCAGAGGAAAACAGGAATCATGTCTTTCATTTTCCTGCTGATTAAGGTATAAAACAAGACCTCTTCACCTTACAAACAGCTGTCGGAAGCAAAACTGCTCTGAAATGTGCAAAAGCACTACTTTCGGGATCAGCACCCAACGATCGGTATGAAACAAGTATTGGATTTCATTCAGCAAATAACGTAGAATGTTTTATGTCACTCTTAACTATGGGCTTTCACTACACACATGTATCACACTCACCTGTCACCCTTCTTACACAGGACATAGAGAATGGATGGATGTCAGCCTTCATTTTTGTTATAGTTCAATAGTCATGAAAAATGACAGGGCAGAAAGAAAAGAGTTTCCTGCACTATTTTTAACCTGAGGCACTTCGTTTTTTATTTTACATGAACATTCACATATATTTCATTAAGAACATAAAGTTTGGAATGTACACAAAATGCACACTGGCCATCATACACATGTGATGACAACACACATACCACAGTCAATTGACGGCAATGCTTCTATGCTAACCTACTTCGCTTTCACTCTTTTTTACTCTTTTGTGCTTTGCCATCAGGACGAGTCTTTCTGAAACATTTACGGAAAAGGCAACGGCATGTTTTAATGAAGAGGAATGTGATCAGTGCAACGATTGAGAGTAAGAAGGCCACTACATCCAGGCAGTGGTACTGATACCAGCTCAGATCATGTGCCTGAACTCGTAGATGTTTAGCTCCTTTATGCCGCATCACAAATTCGATCCAGTAAACTGCCTGGTCCAGAGGCTTCATTGGCTGATCATGGTGGATTCTGGACAGTCTCATGATGCTCTCCTTGTACCTTATTAGAGAAGAAATGGAAGCGCTGCTTAACACAAGACAAGCTCTACAAAAGCACAAACGTTTCTAAATATATAATGTGACAAGCCATACTTTGAACTAGAGACTTTTTCTATGGTATCAGGATTAAAGTGAATACTGAAGGTGGCCGTTGTAATCAAATGACCAAAAATAAAACTCTTATGTACATTTATATGTACTCTTCTCTATGTATTATTTTCCTTGAGGTGAAATTATAATTGTAGTGTTAGTTTTTGTTCAAAATCCAATGTAAATGTAGAAAACAAAACATTTTACACCCTGTCTCTAGCCTTTTTAGTAAACCAAACAAACAAAAACGTTAGGCTTATTTCTAAACTAAGGAAACTAACTGGAAATGGCCTTTAGTAATAGATTATTTCAAAGCTCATTTCAAATTTACAAAGGACTAACTCACGATGGATTATTTACGACAGTTTTGAGAGCATCCACCAGGTCTTTGGGCTGCATTGAGTTGATATCAAGAACTACAGCAGCTCCTTTGGTTTTCATGTGCATTAGATTATCAGGCTGGTCAGCAAACAGTGGCAAGCCCACCATTGGGACACCATGATAAATAGCCTCATACAGTCCATTTGTCCCACCATGGGTAATGAAGGCCTTTGTTTTTGGATGACCTATCAGATAAAATAAAGTCTGAATCTATGAGACATAAATTAATCGTCTTTATGTATAACGAGCACACATAACAACAGTTTCCTTACCAAGCAAATCATTCTGTGGGATCCAGTCATAGAGTTTTGTATTGGGGGCGAGAGTTTCTGGTGTTTTCCCATTATAACGCCAAACAACCTGTGCAAATACACGTATGGAAAACTTATTAACAGTTGCTTTATAGCACTGAGTATATGAACACTTAAGCAGCAAGTTTATAGAAAACTTGGGTTCTGTACAAAAAAAAGTGTATTGATTTTTTCTTAAAATTTTTTTTTAACCCTTTTAAAACACACCTAAAAAACTCTGAGGTTGTTAAAGGGTTAGTTCACTCAAAAATGAAAATTAGCCCATGAATTACTCACCCTCAAGGCATCCTAGGTGTATATGTCTTTGATCTTCCAAGCTTTTTAATGGCAGTCAGCGGGTTTTGCAGTTCATCAGTCCAAATGAAGTGAAATAAAGCGCATCCATTCATAATAAAAAGTGTCTCACACGGCTCCGGGGGGTGAGCAAAGGCCTCCTGTAGCGAATCGATGCATTTTTGTAAGAAAAATATCCATATTCAAAACGTAATAATCACTTTAATCTAGCTTGCGCTAACAGTTGTACACGGAAGCAGCTCCGGGAGGATGATGTAAGATGTCGGCGTTGCACATGCGCCGGTGAGTCTCGTGAAAAACAACGTTTGTTTACAGGAGTCAAGTCAAGTCAAGTCAACTTTATTTATATAGCGCTTTTAACAATACAGATTGTGTCAAAGCAACCGTACAGCATTAATTAGGAAAATAGTGTGTCAATAATGCAAAAAAGGAGCAAAGGAAGCAAAGTTTCCATACTTTAGCAAAGGAAAACCAGTCTCTTCTTGGCTTATATCGAAATCCTCCAACATTCTTCTTTACAAATCCTCGTTTTGTACTTCTAATTCGTGACCGTTGTTTTGTTTTGATCTCTCCGCTGCGCTTCCTTGTTCAATACTTCTGAGCGGCGCATGCGCAACGCCGCCCTCATACGTCATCTGCCCAGAACTGCTTCCGTGTACAACAGTTGGCACAAGCTAGATTAAAGTGATTATTACGTTTTGAATATGGATATTTTTCTTACAAAAACGCATCGATTCGCTACAGGAGGCCTTTGTTCACCCCCCGAAGCCGTGAGAGGCACTTTTTATTATGAATGGATACACTTTATTTCACTTATTTTGGACTGATGCACTGCAACACCCGCTGACTGCCATTAAACAGCTTGGAAGATCCAAGACAATTTTTAATATAAATCCGATTGGATTCGTCTGAAAGAAGAAAGTCATACACACCTAGGATGCCTTGAGCGTGAGTACTTCATGGGCTAATTTTAATTTTTGGGTGAACTAACCCTTTAAGAGAGTACATCATTGCTTTGTATGATGAGCAGATTAATTTAGGCTTCAATTCACTTATAAACATATACATAGAGCAAATCAATTATGGTAAACAGAGAAGCTCAAATGTGCTTTCTTAATGCGCAAGAACCAGCAAGGTTTGTTGTCACTGATATTGCCCATATTTGACGTGTATGTGCATTGATCGATTTTTATATGTGAATAATACCTAAATTAAATCTATTCATCATGTAAAGCAATTGTGTCTCTTCAGAAGACTTGGATTAAATTGCTTGATTCATATGGATTACTGTTATGATGTCTTTATGAACTTCTTTAAATTCTGAAAGTTTCGGTGGAATGGATTTTGAATGAAGGGACAGAAATCTCAGGTTTCATTAAACATATTCATTTGTGTTTCGAAGATGAACGAAAGTGTTACGAGCTTGAAACAACATGACGATGATTAATTGATGAGGGAATTTTCATTTTTGGCTGAACTGTCCATAATTCACAATGAGAAACATATTGCCTCATTAAAGACATTAAGTACACAGTCTTGTACCTTTTGGTTTTTGGGACTGAATTCCCTACAGACAAAATTACTGGAAAAAATATTTCTAGAACCAAGGCAGCTGTTCTATTGCTATAAAAAGGTAGCTACACACCTTTTGTGGGATCTGGCCAAGAGCAGAAGCAATAGTGTTTGCTCTTTCCAATGTCAGGTTTCCGATCATGGAACCCAGTGAGAAGACAACGATGCCATGATCTCCTGAGCTCTGAACAAACTCCTCCAGTTCCTAAAAGACAAACAAATGAGCACATACAGTCCTGACATGTTTTTTCCCTATATCCAGCTTTTCATTAGTGACTAAAAACGGAACTGATTTTCCATCAGAAATGTCGTGCCACGTGCAGTTTACAAAATGGGACTGACACTGTAAATCCACAGTATCTTTTTAAGATCTGCTGTTTCTACATTTTGACATATCGCATGAAAAACTAAGGTGAACTACATTGTATTGAGCAATCAAGGTGAACATGATGAACATGATAAACCTGATCAGCATCAGTTTACTGATTAGATTGAATATAGTTTCCAGTGAGGGGGGTTTGCCAGTCTCTTTTCTTCCTGCTGAGTCAAACTATGTGTGAATATTTACATGTCTATAGTTCTAGTGACCAGGTGGTGCTTAAAGTGCCCCTATTATGCCATTTCCATTATTGCCTTTCATGCAGTGTGTAATGTAGCTGTATGGGAATGTAAACGATCTGCAAAGTTGTAAAGCTGAAAGTGCACGATAAATAAAGTTATTGTCTCCCAAAATAAAGAATCGACTCTGTACAGCTAAAACGAGTCGTTAGTATCACAAATAATGTGATAGTTATAATAGTTAATTCGAATCCCCCTTCCATGACGTCACCTTGCATGCATGTAATCCTATTGTAGGAGACTCCCAAAACAATATTAGGAACCGTAAAAATGGCATAATAGGGGCATTTTAAAACATGTGGTGATGTTATTTATAAAGTTTAGGCATGCTGGTCCTCAAAAGACTTTAGGCCATTTGATGTAAATTAGGTCTGTTTGAGCTCTCAGTTTGGGGTACATTTTCTCACCTCTGTTTAACCCCAGGGTGTAAGACCAATATGGACAAGGACTGCCCACTGAATGCCTAAAATACAATGTATGCCTGCCATAGTCAGACTTTGATGACTGAAGTGCCACACAGCATGTTCTCAATGAAGAATCCTGCTGAAGATACAGCAGAGTCTCCTCGTCTTTGCTTCTGAGTTTCCTACGGTAGCTAAATGAGATCCCGCTCCATACATCCACGGGCATGAAGTTACAATATTACTTGATCTATTCAAGCAAGGATTAATGCAATGTCTTAAAGCAAAAAAAAAGTAAAGGCATCAAGAATATTTCAGAAGAGCAGATATTTCAAAATAGATGGCAAAGCCAAGCCATTACCTTTGACAGAGGCTTGGCGGGTTTGCAGTGTAGTCCTCCAACAAATTTAAAATTAGGCAGGAGTGGGCGTGGATACTCAAAATCCCAGTAAGTTCTAATCAACCAGATGTCGGCTTTTCCCATGGTCTCACACATTGTTGTGGGTTTGCCTGTGACATAAGGAAAAGTTATGCTACTTGTTGATTTACCGCCTGTCAACTATTCAGATATTTTGCTTTCTTTTGCTTCATTTACAGCAGCCTTCTTGAACACTCAAGAAAACTGTAAGTAAAGGTATTTTCAAATCCAATCAACAAAATAGTCAGGTTCAAGCATGTACATGCTTAATTTTTTTCCAGTTGATGGGATTATTTGATGTCTACCCCCAAATCTTGGCAAACAATGCATTTTCATTTTATGGAAAAGAGCAAGTCTGACATACAGTTTTTTACATTTTACAATACCTGTTTATGCAAATACCTGTAATTTAACAGTATGCCAAGTGCAAATGTCCTGAATAAACCAGTTTTTAACTAATCAGTTGAGTGACTTATTCAATGACTCACTCATAAAGACAGCCACTGTCACCACCTACTGGTGTATCTATGTAACCTACAGAAAGCCCCCTTCACTAATGCTTGTAATGCACAATCACAAAGAAATAGAATGATACAAATGATGCATAAACAATAGAAGCACGTTTCCGCCACTGAATAAAACATAAAACAAGGTCATTCCAACTTTGTAATCTCACAATTCTGACTTTTTTCTTGCAATTGCACGTTTTTTCTCTCTCTCAGAACTGCGTGAAGTAAACTCACAACTGTGAGAAATAAAGTTAGAATTGCGAGATATAAACTCACAATTCTGAATTTTTTCTCGCAATTGCAAATTTATATCGCAATTCTGAGAAAAGTCAGAACTGCAAGTTGATATCACGCAATTCTGTGAGAACAAAAAAGTCAGAATTGTGAGATTAAAAGTCTCAATTACCCACATTACAATTAAAATGGGCTTCCATAAAAAAAGTGCCACTGGACAGTATTAGCACTCTTAGAACACCGTTCATGCAATCAAATAGATGGACTATTGTAAAATAATATTATTTGTTAAAAAATGTTGCTTATGTTTTCACTGTAATACTTACTAAGATATCTTACAGACTGAATTACTTTTGAATTATGAATGTAGCAAGATCATATGTTATTAACACCTATATGTTTGCTAAATACTGTCACACATTCTGTAGCTTATATTCATTGAAAAATTGATTTAAACCATCAACTTTGTATGACACAAGGGTAAACAGCATCTAGAAAGAGACAAAGACTACTGCACAATTAAAGCATAAAAGTGGCCAAAAACTAAATAATTACCCCATATTTCAGTGTAAAGCAGATCAAAAGTAAACTTCATGTTCAGTCGGAATATAGTTGTATGTATGATGTAGAGGAGCATGTTTTCAACTCTCTCTATGAAGCTCATACGGTCGGTGAGGTGATCTTGCAAAGCGGCTGCAGGAACGTAGGACGGCGGCGCAGGCAACTGACCGCAAAGCTGCTCGAAAGTATACGCAAATGTTGCGCGCAGCGACAGGACATGCGGGATATTCAGCTTCTGTGCCATCAAGTCAGAACATGGCATCATTGGATCAGAAAAAAGCACATCATAATGAGATTCACGAAGCGTGTGTAAAAGATCCTCATTATGAAACATGCCCTTGCAAATGTCAGTAGCCAGCACCATGTAATTAGTCATCACTCGCCAGATGTTGAACACTGTCTCGTATTTAGTGGCTGTGTCATTCATCCAGAGATGAATAAAGTCACTCCACACAGCAGTGGCCTCTTCTTTCTCCATGTTGACTTTAAACACGTTGAAATCGAAGCGCTCCTTCCGTGTGTGCGGTACAGTAGGTGATGAAGAACTGACCAGAACCGTCACACTGTGGTTGCGATCGACCAGCGCGTCAATGATCGCACGCATGTTGTGCCAGTGACTGTACTCGCCTGGTAACACCAAAACCTTGCCAGCATGACCAGCCTCCACTCCACACAGCAGTACAAACACAAATAAAGTCCCAGAAACCATGATGAAATGTTTCTGCTTCTGGAAGTGCAGTGTGATCTGGGGAACGAGGATCCAAATACGGTGTAGGCTATGTGCACAACAGGATTTGGGCAAAGGTCGTGTTGCATTATGGAGGGTAGTTGCACTTTGTCCTCATTCATTCAAGCTAATTTGTCAAAAGATAATGAATACTGTTGACTTAAACTTTCAGTCAACTCAAGCTTGCAGTTGACAATCTAATTGCTTTATTTTTTTCTTTTGTTGTTCTGACTATGTAGAGGGACATGCAAATGTTACCATGAACAACACTTTTGACGGTTAATGTTTCTAATGTGGATGTCTGTAAAAAAAATTACATGGCACCCCATTGATAAAACTATGGATTCGGATGACGATTTATTCACATTTAAGCTGAGTTCTGTAATCCTACGAACCCCTGCTCATGTGGCCAGTCGCATGATTGTCTGCTGTAAATAAAATTTCACATGCTTGGGATAATACAAATAAATTCATATTTAATAATATCCTATTTATTATTTGATTATTTAAATCTCCTGTTTAAAAATAGGAAAACGCTATGGTTGAAATGGTTTTCTGCCTTGCATTTTATCTCTCAAAATTATGGATGTCATTAAAAATGTGGAGATTAGCTAAGTTACTGCAACCTCTTATTTACATAAGGTAAAAACAAAGCTGCTTTGTTTATATTTTGTAATGTATATAATTGTATATAATGCATATTTTAAAATTGCTGCCATAGAGACCCATTTCAAATGTGAGAGAAACAATCTCTTCAGCAAGTGGTTAAAGATCACCATTATCCAAAACAAGCTCTGTCACATAGCACTTCTAAGTAATAATTAATTACATAATGAATAATGAAAATGATAAATATAGCTGCAAGCAGCAGTTAAAACAGTCCCAACTATCAGGTTTGTATAAGGCATTATAAGGATTCAGTCGTGCAATGGGCTCTCTATTTAAGGTTGAAAAAAAAAAAAAAAAACAGAACAAAAACTACACAAAAGGAACAAATACTCTGACAGGGCAGGGCAGGACAAGCCTGGGAGCAGCAAGGTGTGACACGACAGGAACCAACAGGACACTAGTGCTGTGTTCCAGTTAATTTTTTTATGCCGTTCACTCGCTAACTTCCCTCCGTCTCGTTTACTCAGATGTATGTCATTGATTACGCTGCATGAGTGCCCACTACTGGCGGAACCTTCGCAGTGGGCTGAATTGGAACCTCCCTTGATCATTTGGAATCTGCAATTAGTTGATTTATTACTTACATATTTTAAGTTACAAATTTGTTTGATGCAGCATTCTATATGTATATTGGTATGCTTGGGCTGTTATAAATGTTTTTAAAAAATCATTTATATATTATAGAGTTGTTTGGGGTGGGGATAAATTAAACGCGATCTGCGATGACGTCATAATCGTGTTGCATTTTAGTCTATGGAGTATTATGACCCTTAGTCAAAATCAAGGGTCAAGGATCTGTCCATATAAACTTCCCTTGTCCACTTAATGCACTTCAAAATGGCAGCGGGGATTCCCCCCGAGGGGAAGTGCTTAGGGAAGTTTGCCAGTGTGTGTCTAAAAGTGAAGTGGGACACAGCCCAGTATATTCGACGACAAATCTGGCACAGGACAGCAGGGGGGCAAATGATCCAATAATGAGATACCTAGAGGGGTGGGGTTAGACAATTGACAGGAGAACACATGGCATGGCACATAGAAACAAAGCTTCTGCTGTGGAAGCTGCAATGCACTCCTCAGGTAGTATGGTCAACCTGCAATTCTGTGAGATCAGGTTGGTATGGTAGCGGTCACAGGTGCCTCAGGGGAAGCTGCAGCAGTTCTGAACAAATCCAGGAGCCTGCAGCAGGTTCCGCCTGCCACCTTTGCGGAGGCGGCAGATGAGGCAGACCCATTCTACCTTCTCCTCCTCCAATTCCTGGTCACTGGAGGACTGGGGCTTCCACTAACTGGAATGGAGTGACAGTCAGTGTGGGAGGACTTTGTACTGCATGTACACACATGTACGATTCCTTACAACGGAGTAAGTGGCGCACAAAGCTCCAAAACGGCAGCCTTCCCATCTCCCAAGGCATGGGTTCTCAACTCTGGCCCTCGAGGTCCAATTTCCTGCAGAGTTTAGCTCCAACCCTAATCAAACTCACCTGAACAAGCTCATCAAGGTCTTCAGGATCACTAGAAGCCACAGGCAGGTGTGTTTGGTTAGGGTAGCCCAATCACAATCCAATCCAAGCCAATCACAAGGCACATGTGGAGAGCGTCAGCAAAGCGTCAGTTTGATTCACTTTTTTGCTGAAAATGTAATGCATTTAAATGCATTTACAAGGCAGGAATAAACTGCTGCTGCAGCAAAAATTTGAGAAGGCAACAGAAAGAAAATATATGACTATGCAAATGAACCAACTTGATTTAATTATTTATGTAGTTTCACAGAGGGCTCAAAAGGAAAACATAAATTTAGTAATTTTAAAAGTTAACTTTTATTTTGAAATCACGATGTACAATAAATGGCATATTTAGAAATATGTATTCTCCTGTGTTGGCAAAGGTTTATAAGTGATTTACGTTGCTAATCTATTGAGAAAATGCACAGTTTTCCCAGATGAACGTTAAGCAATTCAAGTTCACAGCATATACAGAGGAAGAGTTTATCCCCTTTCACACATACAGTCTTTACTGGTAAATTACCGGTAAATTACCATTAAGAGATCATGTGTGAACAGGACCTTTTCAAAAATCCCGGTAAATTTGTTCTGGCAATCATATCGTTCTTGTGGAGATGTCGTGATTACTCTGAGTTGTTTACAAAGGTCTGCTGCTTTTTAATTAGTTTTTCTATGTAATTATGCGCTAGGCGGACATCTTTGAACATTGCGCCTCGCAGCTTTTTCAACGTGTTGCGCTTCTCCATTCATCAGGGCTGCGACTCTGCAGTATACTATTATGCGCGTCTCGTGTTTATAAGAGCAAAAAATTCTGATTGGCTAGTAATATTAGTTTGGTTGAGAGTGAAAGCTGTGCTCCTCTCATACCATTGGTAGACGAACTAATGAACTCGAAAGTGATATCAACAAGTTTTTTTTTTTAAATGTAGGATTATTTTTTTCCAATGCTGCATGCCGGAGATCCGGTGTTGTGCCCAATTCTGACCCCCGCCAGATTAGTACCCCACAAGTATTGGTAGGTTTGGGTGTGGGGGAGGGGTTAGGATTAGGGGTGGGGTTAGGATTAGGCAATCAGATAACGATTTCAAGGAGGGCAGGGGTCGAAAATGGGCACAACACCGGCACCGTGCCGGAGAACTTTAAGCCCTGTAAATATCTTAAAAACTCCTGAGAATGTTATCTAATTTGCAGGATGTACTGCTCGAGTGTGAAATCACTGCATGGCAAAGTGCACGTTTTCAGTGGTTTTATGTTTCTTGTATTGTTCGGAAATTTTGAAGCTATTCAGAATGACGTGTTATAACCTCAAGTAACCTATCCAAAGTGGTGTTGGTCCTTCTAGCTCAGGGGGTGCCCAAACTTGGTCCTGGAGGGCCGGTGTCCTGCAGAGTTTAGCTCCAACTT